TCCAAACCATCTCAGCCTTGTGTCTCTGACTTTGTTTTCAAACAGCTCAACCTGAGCCGTCCCTCTGATGGACTCATTTCTAATCCTGTCCATTCAGACTCCCAGTGAAAATCTTCAGCTCAGCCTCCTGTCTTTTTGTAAGTGCCATCGTCTGCAAACCATACAGCTGTAGTGATTGTCACCTCTCTTCTCAACTTCGCTTCAACAACCCATAGTTTCCCATAGTTATTCCCTGTCCTTTGTTTTTTTATGTCACAGATATGTCATCTGGGTCTGCCTTTCCACTCTTCATCCTAAATGCTCCCTCAGTGTGGAAACTATTTACTGCTTTAATCAAATAAACAGTCTTAATGTTTCTGTACTACACCCAGCATGCTAACATGCAATCACACACACAAAGGTCTACCCTAATATCCTCTTCACCTTTTGTATTTGAATCATAACATCATGAATGAACAGAAAAACCAGATCATCATTAATTAATTGAAGTGTAGTTTAGCTGCATTTGGGAGATTTTTTTTTCTTTCTCTGAACCAGCAGATGGTGTATCGCTCGCTGAGCTTTGAAGGATTTCTTTTCTATCTGTCAACTGCCAGCCTGATTCTTTAAGTTCCGCTCTTGTTTGCAATGCAGTGGTGTTGGCAAAGAAGCAGCCAGGTCGTTAGACTCGCCACTCCTGTGTCAGTGCAGAGCAGGCACACTTTGCTCCCCCACCCCCCTCATGTATAAATAATATGTAAAAGACTTAACCCCTAAAGTGTCTAAGTTACGTCACGTGACTTAGACGCTGATTAACACTTCTAAACTTCTGTAAACTGGCATACAGCCAGTAATAGTAACACATACATTCGATGATAAGCAATAACTGTGCCATCTGAAGCTTTACCTTTAAAAAGCCAAAGTTTATATATTTATTGTGATTTTGTCAGTTGTATAATGTCTGATGATGTTTCATTTATTATTTCAGTGCTCAGTACAGTCAAACATGGAAACACTGAAGGTGAGAAACAGTTTTTTCTTCCATTTATTTATATTTAGCATCTCCCGTGTTGCTCTAAATGACGTCCTCTGTGTTATATTTTGTATCATAAACCAAACATTTCATTGAGGTTATTGGTTAAAATGTTAATATAACCATGTTAACTGTGTGAGCACTCAAGCACACACCCACGATATGACAACGATCAACAGTGTGAGTATCACAACAAGTCTTGAAAAACCACCAAAAGTGAGACGTGCATCACCCAGTGTTGTTAAGCAGTATTGCATTTATACTGTGAGTGTTGCGACACACATCTGTTTTTAACCATATAAAGCAAACTCCTGCGAGAGCTGACGTCAGTGCAACAAGTGTAAAAACTGTTGTTTAGTACTCAGATCTGTTTACATCATTGTACTATAACACATGTGAAAGAAAAT